ACACTAACTTTTAACCCCACTTAAACAAATGTTATCCTCCCAAAAGGAGTCCATCCTTCTCATTGGTAGCCTGTATTACAAAAAATTATGCTCAGTTGTTCTTACTGTATTTTAAATTTCGTGACTTCCGGTTTCTGGTTCCTCCTGTAAGGAGCTTGGAAGTTGTCACTGTGCCCCAGCAACAAGTAAAAAGCTGAACAGACTGAAAACTCAGCAACTCTTCTTGGAGTGAAGAGGGACGGACTTGGCGAGCCACTGCCCCCAAGATTGGAGAGACTGACAGCGGATACGGGGTGTCCTAGCTTCCCAGAGCAGAGACTCAGGCGGGAACCTCCCCGGGAGCCAGAGCCAGGGCAAGAAAACCTGACCTGTAATCAAGGGGCTGCTGGGGGCTGCATGTGGACCACTGAGTTTAAACCAGCAAGGGGACCCAGAGGGCCAGTCCCGTGGCAGAGTGGTTCAAGTTCTGTGTGCTCTGCTTTGGCAGCCCGGGTTTGTGGGTTTGGATCCCGGGCATGGACCTACTCCACTCATCAGCCATGCTGTGGCTGCATCCCACATACAAAGTAGAGGAAGATGGGCACAAGTTAGCTCTGGGCTAATCTTTCTCAAGCAAAAAAAAAAGAGGAAGATTGGCAACGGATGTTACTTCAGGGTGAATCTTCCTCACCAAAAAAAAAAAAAAAAAAAACCTGCAGGGTGACCCAGTCACGGGGGTTCCTACAATACTATGAGATCCACCTGCAAGAGCCCAGCCAGGTTCTCACAGGAAATATCAGAGAAAAACCCCTCCTGCTTCCAGCAGGGGAAGGGGGAGGCACTCTTCTGAAGTAGGCCAGAGCACTCTGTTCTTCTGAACAAGGTCTGTCCTCAGGGGAAACCAGTTGACTAGAGCCTGACCTGCTGGGTGTTCTCAGAGCCTGACTGACCTGGGGAAGGAAGACCCAGCTCCCATTGGCTCTACATCCTGTCCCGCCTTGGGGGGCAGGACCTGAGGAGCAGTGGTGAGGTTCCCCATCCAGAGGCCAGGCTCTGTAGTCCATGTAGGATCAGAGTCGCCTAATCCTAGGACTGGAAGGCATCCCAGCCCCCACACCTCCCCAGATAATAAAGGCCTACTTACAGCAGTTCCTTTTACCTGGCTACCAAGAAAACATCATGAGGCACACAAAAGGCAAGAAACACAGTCTGAAGAGACAGCGAGCATCAGAACCAGACAAGACAGGGGTGTGGAATTATCAGACCGGGAACTTAACTATGATTACTATGCTAAGGGCTCTAATGGAAAAAGCAGACGGCATGCTAGAACACAGGAGCAATGTGAGCAGAGAGATGGAAGTCCTAAAAGAACCAGAAGGAAAGGCTAGAGATGAGAAGCACTGTCACAGAAATGACGAGTGCCTCTGATGGGCTCGTCAGACTGGACACGGCCAAGGAAAGGACCTCTGAGCTGGAGGACATCTCAACGGAAACCTCCAAAACTAAAAATCCAGGAGAACAGACTGAGAAAACCAGAACAGAGTACCTAAGGACTGTGGACAACCACAAAAGGTGTCACGCACACATAATGGGAACACCAGAAGGAGAAGAGAGAAAGGAACAGAAGAAACATCTGAAACAATAATGACTGAGAATTTCCCCAAATTAATGTCAGACACCAAGCCACAGAGCCAGGAAGCTCAGAGAACACCAAGCAGGATAAATACCAAAAAAGCTACATCCTCAGCATATCACTTTCAAACGACAGAAAATCAAAGACAAAAAATCCTGAAAGAAGCCAGAGGAAACAACACCTGCCCCAGAGGAGCGAAGATCAGAATTACAGCCGACTTCTCCTCAGAAACCATGCAGGCGAGAAGAGAGGGCAGCGAAATGTGTCGAGTGTTGGGAGAAAAACCCACCGACCTGGAATTCTGCGCCCTGTGAAAGTCTCCAGAAGCGGAGGAGCAATAAAGACTTTCTCAGACAAACAAAGGTTGAGGGAGTTCCTCAGTGACTGACCTGCCTTCAAGAAATGGTAAAAGTAGTTCTTCAGAGCGAAGGACAATGATACAGATCAGAAACTCGGATCTGCATAAAGAATGGAAGGGCATCCGAGAAGGAATAAGGTAAAATTAAAACTTCTATTTTTCTTAATTGGTTTTACAGATAACAGTCTGCTCAAAGTAATAATGGCAAAATGCATCTGATATGCATGCTTATGGACATGTTTTATGTACATCTATTTCAATTTCATCAATAAAAACCTTGGTTTTCTCTCTTATTATGTAAGTTCCTATATAATACCTCAGTTTTGCCCTTTAGTTTCCAAAGGCCCAAATATTTACTCTCTGTTTGTTGACAGAAAACGTTGTAACCCTGGGCTAGAGCTCTCAGTATGATGTTCAGTCTCAGTGGCAAGGGTGGACGTCCCTGTCTGGTTCCTGACCTTAGGTCAGTGGTGAGGGTGGACGTCCTGGTCTGGTTCCTGACCCTAGGGGAAGCAGCCGGTCTTCCACCACTGAGCATGAGGTTAGCTGAGGGTCCTGTGTGTGCCCTTCATCAGGTGCGGGAGGTGCTGCGAGTGTGTCAGGAACGGAGGCCAGATTTTGGCTGCTTCTGCATCTGTTGTGATGATCGTGTGGTTTCTGTCTTTTCAGTTTGTCAGTACAGTGGATGACATGGACGGATTCCGTGCCCAGTGCACTGTTACTTTTTATAAGCCTTTTCTCCCCCACCGAATTCTCATAGCATCCTAGTCGTACCACTATTATAACTTTTAGTTTTGACAAAAAATGAGATCACATTATATCTATAATGCTACATAATCTATCTTTAGCATAGCAGTATATTGTGGTGCTTGCTCCATGTCAATAAATATGATATGTATCATCTTTTTTAATGGCTGCAAAGTGTTCCACTGAATAAATGACTCACACTCTTATCCCACGTAGGAAATAAGTTAGATTTATCTTGCACGTCAACTGTCAGTAGTGGATGGTCGTGGTATCTCAAATGTAGTGTTGAGAAGGATTCTGAGGCTCTCTTGATCTCATCTGAAAGTGTCTGGGGGTGCAGAATGAGGCTGGCACATGTGCAGCAGGGAGGTCAGCTCTTCTGATCGGCTCAGGCCCTGTTGTTGGACGTTTCGCATTTAAATTGTTTCTGATATTTCAGTGTTGTAAATAAGGCTTCAGTGAACATCTGGATTCACATCTTCTTATGCACGTACATGTTATTTCCTTAGGATAGATTACTAGCAGAATTTTTGGGTCAGTGGTTAAGTTTTTAAACTTTTTTTATATATATAGCCAAGTTACCTTCGTGAAAAGGTACCCCAGTTAACATTTCTCTACCTGACATTGAGTGTTGTTATTTTCAATCCTTTTTCATTCTGATAGATGAAAATTAAAGAAATTGGACTTGAAACAAGGTATTTGAAGCTGCACCATTTCCACCTGTTAGGTGAGAGTTCCCTCTTTGGCGTCAGTCTGTGAGGCTATCAGGTTAAGGATCACCACCCTTCTGGAGAACTGATAGGAATGGCCACGCACGGTCAAGCAGTGTGTTTCAGGCCTTGGTTTCCGAGCCAGCTTTTGTATGATTCTTTAAGGGAAATGTTTCTTTTCAAGCTGATCACAAATTTTCTGTACTAATCTTTTAGTCTGGATTTTGCCATATTTGGTTCCAGCCTTTCGTCTGGCTCTGGGCCAGCCCTCGCACAGCTCTTCAATTCTGAGAGGCAGCCCTCTTTTCCCTCTGGGGCCATTGCCGTGTGCGTTCATTCGTTCCTGCAGAATCGGGCCTTTCAGAGGGTCTATGTAGGTCCAGGAAGGGATAGATGTGCTCCTGGGGGGCGTCCCTGGGTCAGCTGCTCAGAGATGCCGTTCACAGAGTGATTTATGGGTCGTTGATTTAAGCAACTAAGGTTTGAATTTCCTGTACTGTCTGCTGCGTGGCCCTGAGCAGTGACTAGTGCTTCCTCATCTGGGTGTGAGCTGTGGAGTCCTGTGGGTGGGACTCAAGGAAAGTCGGTTGGTAGCTGCCTGGTCACGGAATTGGCCCTTCCCTGGAATGTGCAAGGTTCCAGCCTCGACCTCCTGGCCTCTCTCTGCCCAGGCCCAGCACCCGCTCGGTGGCTGGCATGCTGACTGCCCAGGGCAGGGGTCTTAACGGACGTTAGTACTGAGGAGGAGACAAGACAGCGGTGCAGAGGGGACCCTTTCCTCTGTGGTGGGCATCTCCATCTCGTCCCCAGCATTCAGGCAAGCTGTGACAACTAGCCCCAGACACCAGGGGGTACCCTTTACCCGCCGTTGGGCACACCTAGGTGGCTGTCCACAGCTGTGAATAGCCCACCCTGCAGGTGTGAAGATGAGGTGAACTCGGGGACTTGGGCTGCCTCGGGTTGTCGTCCTTCCCTTAGGTGAGTGAGAGCTCTTTCGTGGTCCCCTGCTGGCATCTCTGGGCTGGGAGGGTCCAGTGTGGCTGTGAAGGGATGTTAGAAGAACCAGCAGCACCTCTGGTCACGAAGCTGCCGCTGCACGGTGGGAGGTGCCAGAAAGCCCGAGTGCCCGGGGTGCTGCCCTGGCGTCAGTGGGAGACGCCACGGTGAGTCTCCCTGAAGGTTCGCCTGATGCCACGTGACAGCTCAGGTCCAGACACACGGGCAGCTAAGGGGCTTAGGTCCAGGGAGGCATCCTTCCCTCTGCTGGACGACCTCTCCCCTGTCTGCACAGCCTGCGTGGGCTCGGGGTCTGTGCTGCGTGCTGGGCCCTGGTGGGCTCAGCGAGTACAGAGACTCACGCAGCTCCCATACCAGGGGCCTTCCTGCCATCCGGAACTGGCAGCCGCTCCAGGATTGCAGGAGTTACAATCCCAGTGGTTACCTTCTCGTTCACAGCAGCCTTCAAAACTTTGTAACCCCCGTCTGTGATCTCTTCATGTGATATTTTTGAACAGAATTTTAATATAATTCTTTGCCTACCTAAGATTAAAGATTATATATTAATTTTTAATAGCGGAAATGAGAAAACAGAGGGAATTCTACCACAAATTAGGCATGGAAGTGCCTGGAGACATCAAGGGGGAGACTTGTTCTGCAAAACAACACTTAGATTCCCATCGGAATGGTGAGTAGGCTTCTGTGTGTTTGTTGAGAAATTGAGGGGATTTTATTTTTTAGGCCTTTTCCTAAAGAGCTCTCTGGTCTTCTCACCCTCCCTCAGGCGGTTTATGTCATAGAGTAACAAAATTTTGTCATGGGAGTATGAGACGGTTGTTAGGACGCCAGGATTCTGTCACTGCTGTTGCTGATGGGAACGTGGGATGGCACTGAGAAACAGTGTCACAGACAGAGGGATCACGCGGCGCGGCGGGGGTGGAGCGAGGGGATGCACAAGGGGGTCCCAGAAAGTGCCTGGAGGTGGGGTGTGGTGGGACGATGGGAAATGTGGAAGATGGGCTTCCTAAGACTCTTTGCTTCAGTTTTGTTTGTTTTATTGTAGAATGGCAAAATAACATTTTGTCTTTGATGTAAAATTAATGATATTTTAAAATCTGTACATATCCTAACAAATCATTCAAATCTTCGATGCCATGGTATTCTTCTAGTGGAACGCACAATTCCTAAGAAATTTTAGGCGCCTGTGCATTTCTAACGATTTGAGGATAAGACGAGGCTCCGGCTGTCACCGGGAAGGGCAGAGCACTGCAGGCTCTGCTTGCATCATGGGGCCCCAGGGCAGCGGTTAGGAGCGTGTTTGGGGATCCAGGAGTCTTGTCCCAGCCGTTTTACCTGAAGTGGAGTCTTAATTTTGAGAGTGGTGTTGGAACAGTAACAGTTAGAGGAGTCACGTGAGACTGAGCGGGTCAGGGAGGTGTCAGCCTTGCGTAGTACTGGGGCGGGGAGCTGCTCTGTGCCCTGCGCACACCTGCAGGCCCACGTGCGGCCAACCCCGCCTCCTGGGGCTGCCTCACTTTAAGGAGCATGCGTTCTAACAGACAATCTGTAAACCAGCTCTCCTCTGACTCATACACGCTCTATGGTGCAAACTGTCGTATTACACTGAATTTTTTATAGCGTTTTGAGTATACTGTAAGTTAAAAAAATAATGGTTTAACATTTTAGATTTCATAATACATTATCTGTTTTTGCGAAAAGGTGAAACCAAAGCAGATGACAGTTCGAACAAAGAAACTGCAGAAGAGAAGCAGGAGGAGGACAATGACTATCACAGAAGCGACGAGCAGGTAGATGATGTTTCATTTCTGTGAACGTGAAAGAATTGTTTGTTTCAGTGCTTGTGTGCTGCAGTATGTTTCCTAAAACTGTAACAAAAAACAGATGCACTGGAAACTTCCCCACTGAATGTTTTCTTGTTTAAAAAAGAAAAAGGCTGGGGCCGGCCCAGTGGCATAGTGGTTAAGTTCACACACTCCTCTTGGGCGGCCTGGGATTTGTACGTTCAGATCCAGAGCACGGACCTACACACCACTTATCAAGCCATGCTGTGGCAGCGTCCCATATAAAGTGGAGAAGAATGGGCACGGATGTGAGCCCAGGGCCAGTCTTCCTCAGCAAAAAGAGGAAGATTGACAACAGATGTTAGCTCAGGGCTGATCTTCCTCACAAAAAAGAAAAAAGAAAGAGGCTGAGAGGGAGTAGAGATGTTGAAATGTCAACATGCTTGCTCATGTCTCCTCCCAGCTCCTTACTTTATATTTTTCTTTCTTTTTTTAATTACCAAAGTAATATACGCTCACTGTAAAACATTTTAAATATAAGAAAATGAGCGCTCCCCCTGCACACGCCTGGGGGTGTTAGCCGCCCCCTGGTGTCACTGCGTGGTTTGGCCCAGGCACTTTCTGTGCACAGGCCCCTGTTACATAGAAGAAAGTGGAGTCCAGTTGCGTGTTAATAGTGAAAATGTCACATCAAGGAATCTATTCCTGCATCGGTTACTACATTAGCAGATTGAAAAAGAAAAACTAAATGCTCGAGAGATGCTGTAAAAGAATTTATAAAATCCCACATCCGTGTCTATAAACTTTCTAATGTAGTATCTTAACTTGAAAGCTGTGACAGTCATTATACTTTATTGATGAAACAGTCGTCTCATTAACGTCAGAAACAGATGCCCATGATCACTGGTGCTTGGCGTGATTCTCAAGTTCCTAGCCACGCAGGAGGGAGACAGAAGAAATGAGATGCGTGTGTAAGACAAAATGCCGTTGTTCTCAGATCATACCATTGTCTGACATAAACCTAAGACAACCAACTGGGAGACTGATAGGGCTTATTGTTGCTTGTTAAGATAAGATCAATATATAATAATCAGTAGGTATGAGGGGGAGACTTTATTCACATAACAATAAAAACTTTAAAATAGCCTAACAAGAAAGGTGTGAGGCCTCAGTGAAGACACACAAACCTTATGGAAGAGTGTAAGAGAAACATCTCCATAGTTGGATATTCCTGGATGGGAAGATTGACGTTAAGATGTCAGTTCTCCCCAAATTAACCTCAGTAGCTGTGATTTTAACCATTTATTATGGAATTTAACCAGCTGCTTCTGAATCTCATCTGGAAGAGGAAAAGCTTAAGAATAGCCATGAAAACAAGGGGTGTCGGCCATATCAGAATATATATGATAAATGTATAGTATACGCACACATATGTATTTTTATATATATTCTGATATGTTCATATCTAGTAAACAAAATATACACACAAATATACATACATATTCATGTGTACATACATTTATTAAAGACACAATTAAAATGATGTGGGTACAAGAATAGAGTAACGGAATCTTAATTTTCCAGTTTATAAACTTCTGTATTGTTACAAAAATTCCCATAAGCATTGCAGAAATAGAACCATGTCTTTGTGGAAATGCAGGCTGTGGCCTGATGCGTTTCAGGTCGTTGGAGCTACGGATGGAGTAGGGGAAGGGCACCCTTCTTCCCCTTCCCGGGGTTTTAACTCAGCTGAGTGATGGAGTCCTCCTGCAATACCTCTTATTAGTGCACGTGCTTAGACCAGTCCTCCACCTTGGAGGACTGGGATCTGGTTGCGACGTGAATTCGTCGCGACATGGATTCGGGGTCAGTGCTGCTGGCCGGGCCCCTCCAGGCACGAGGCTGAGCATCAAGTGAAGTTGTGCGCCGTGTTCTCCTCTAGCTCAGTCTCTCTTTTGTCGGTTTTGAATTCCCAGTGTTTGTTGTTACTAATTTTTGCCGTTTCTTTCTTATCCCAAATATGCCCAAGATTTGTCTATTTGGTTGGTTGCTTCCAAAAGAGCCGATTTTTGGTTTTAGTGGATCGAGTGTTCAGTTTTCTGAAAGCCTTTTCTCTGACCCCTTCGCTTGCGGCCTCAGCCCCTGTGCGTGGTCTCCTTTCTGTTGGATGCATTGAAGGTGATGTTTGCCGGCTCTCTGGCTGCGTCGTGAGGCCTTGACGCACATGCGGGTGCTGGTGTCCGGGGCTGGGCCCTGGCCGGCATGCCATGGTGCGCGTCCTCCGCCCTCTTCAGACCTTCCCATCGTGGCTTGCTCTTCCTTTTCTTTTTCTCCTCTGGAGGTTTGGGAATGTTTCTCTCTCTCTGTTCCTCTAGTAGTTGCCCTTAAATTTTCAAACATGTCTAAATCTGCATTTGGTGTCAATTTGTAGAATTAATCAGTATCTGTAGCTTCTCAGAACAAGACAAAACTTCTATTATGTGTTTTTCTGATTCCCCTCCCCAATCACTACCCGCCTTCCACAATTTGTTCAGGTCATCTAAAGTTTGCTCCCAATCATTCTTGGTAGTTTTTAATTTTATTTTACACTACTTTTATTCTCAGAATTATCGCCTAATGTTTTTCTTAGAGTTTTGACACAATATTAACAATTGTTTAGATTTGACAAAAGATGTAAAGGTTTTTGTGGGCTTCTGCACATACTGTTGCCTTTATCCTGTCTTCCTCTCCATGGAGTCTGCTTCTCTGGGGGCCTCCTCCATCACTGAAGAGGGGCGTGTGCATAGTGAACTTCCGAGTTTTTGCACGTCGGGATAGTCTTCATTCCCCACACTTGGATGATACTTTGGCTGGGTATAGAATTCTAAATTCAAAATACCTTTTCCTCATAACTTTTAACACAAGCCTTCCTAAGTCACTCAGGCGAACTGATTGAATTGTGTACTTTTAACACTAAGCATTAAAAAAAGAAAAACGGGTGAGAGAAGTATAAGCCACCCAACCCCCAGGCTGCTCCTGGCCTCGTGCTCCCATCCGCATGCCATCTCCCGACTGGACGCCCTCTCCCGTCTGTGCGCTGTCTCCCGACTGGACATGCTCTCCTATCTGCACGCCCTCTCCCATCTGCACGCCGTCTCCCGACTGGACACCCTCTTGTGTCTGGATGCTCTCTTGTGTCTGGACGCTGACACCTGATGCTCATGAGAACCATGACTGGGCTGCAGCTCTGGTTTTTGTTCAACAGGGAATTTGGAGGGGCTGCGTCTCAAAACAGCATCTGACTCAGCAGGCCGTGCATGTGACCACCTCTGCTCCCATCTGCCTGAGCAGCCTCTGCGTTCCCCTGACCCGGCTCCCCAGCACTGCCTGGTGGGCTTGGCCGCCGCCCAAGACCCGCCTGAGGAACAGGCTTCCCAGGACGATTGGGCTCAGGCCCGTTTTCTCCTGAGGCAGACAAGTTCAGTAACCTGCTGAGAGATGCAGACATGATCCATCACTCTCACAGTGCTCTAAGCCAGCAGTCCTGACCAGGCCTGCATTTCCCCATTTCCAGTAATTCCCTGTGCAGACCCACTTCCTTTCCTCTGGAAGTGAGTGGTGCTTTTCCCCCATTTTGGAACTTTGTAGGATTTCTCTTTATGCTGGGAGTTCAGAGATTTCCAGGAATCCATCTCTTCCATTATTCTTGTTGTCATTTGGGTTCCACCTTCTGTCCTGAGGACCCTGGACTTCCTTCTATTCCCGGAAACTTCCTTTTCTCTCTGGCTGTTGCCTTCTGGAACTCCTGGATCCACCCTCCACCTCTCCTGTTTAATCTCCGTCTCTCTTTGGCTGTCGCCTTCAGTCTGCAGTTTTCCGTGTTGGGACACACAGGCCTCCATGCTCCTTTGTTGGGGTGTCTGTGCCTTATCTGTTGGTCAGCAGCCTCTTGGTGGGCACGCGGGCCATCTCTAGCTGGTCTGCAGTGCCGACCCTCGCACACACCACACCCGGTGGTGGCAGGTTTAGTGTCTCCTTTTGCTGGTGATTTCTGACTTGATTGACTGTGGTGGTAGAGACGGGTCTGCGTGAGGCCTGGGCCTGGACACAGACGCTCGAGAGTGCATGTGCCTGAGAAGGCGTGCAGCTCTCAAGGGCAGAGTAGAGTCCTCCCCCTGGCGTGGACTGCACCATTTCTCATCGGTCTGTCAACTTAAGTTTGTTACTAGGTGCAAGTTGAGAAAGGTTTCCCATCCTTAGGGAATTTTTTCTTAAGCTTTCCTTCTTCAAGTCTGCTTTATCTAACATTAATATGGCTATGTCAGCTTTCTTTTGGTTAATATTTGCCTGTTATTTCAGTTTTTCAAATATCTATCTTAAATGTGACACTTTTTATAGCATAGACCTGAGTTTTTAAAAAAATCAAATCAGAAAATGCCTTTAACTGACAAGTTATTTTACGTTCACAGCAATCACTGGTAAATTTATTTCAAATTTATTTCTTTGTGCTTCCCGTTTGTATTTTTATGCTCCTCCTTCTTGCCTTGTATTGAATTAGTAAGTCTTCTTTAATCTCTTTTTTTGCCTGCATTTGGCAACGAATTGGCAAGTTATATGAACTACTTTTATTATTTTAGTGGTTATGAAATTCTAAAATGAATATTGACATTTTTAAAAATTTCGAAGTTTATCTGAGTCTCTTCCTCACTCCTAAACGACGCTGGAGCCTTGCTTGCTTGGCCTGGGGTTGCCCTGCTGCTTAGAGTCAGCCACTCGGTCCTCCTCGTCTTCCAACCCAGACCAGCCAGCCGCTGCACCTGGCTCAGGACCCCACCTCCGGGCTCACCTCTCCTCCCACGTCTCACATCTTCCTCCCAGGTTCACGTCTCTTCCTGAACTACAGCCTCTCCTAGTTATTTCCTGTTTTTGTTTGTAAATAGCTTTGTTTCATTTTCACTCTTGAATGATCCTTGAGCTACCTATTTTCTGTTTCCACCTGGGGAAGGTTGCTTTCCCTGCTCAGTGGCCACGTCTGAAGAGCTTCCTCCTGCTGCTCTCAGGGCCTTGCCTGCTGTGTTCTGAGGTGTTGCCGGCTCTGTCTAGGTGTAGATTTCCTTTAATTTCTTTTATTTTGGACTCATTTGCTTCCTGACTGTGAGGATTGATGTCTTTCATCACCTTGCCTTTCGTTGGTTCTCTGCTTTCCTCTGGAACTCTTGTGACGCGTTTGTTAGAGTCTGTCTCCATGCCTCTTACCTTCCTTTGTTTTGTGTTTTAGTTGATATCCTTGCTCATACACTTCTGAGTAATTTCCTCAAATCGGTCTTTGAGAAAAGTGATCTGTCTTCAGCTAAGGCTGATCTGTGGCTCAACCACCCATTGAGCTTTGGTTTCAGTGAGTGTGTTTTTATTTTATTTTGGTTTCAGTGAGTGTGTTACATCTTTAATTACCTTCTTTTGTATCTCTAGTAATTTCAGACATACGTATTTCATTAATTCCTTTAATTCCCATGTCTGATTTTGGGGTCTGATTGTGCCATTTTTGTGGCTGCTCCTGGAGAACTATTTGCTTGTGGGGCTCTCTCGGCAGTCCTGCATGGCCTGGGGTTGTCTGTCCTTGGCAGGTTCACGTTTGTGTCTACCGGGCACCCCATGATCCTAGAATCACTTTTACTTGGAGTGTTATCTTATGGTTCCTTATCACACACCACGCACTCAAACCCCACAGAACTGATGATCATCCAAAAGGTAACTGTGAACTTTTAGACTTTGTGCTTTTGCTCATGGTTTTCCTCTGCGCAGAGAACTGTTCTTCTCTAGTGAGTTTGCTCTCTTCTTTCAAGGCCAAGCATAATAGTACTTCCTTCCTAAAACCTTCCTTGATGCATTCATGCAGAATCGTTGGCGCCCACCGTGGTCTTTGCTGTGTGTCTTTCCTACTCATGCTGGCAGAGCGCTCAGCACAGCCTGTGGGGGAACCGCTGGCAGAAGCTTTCAGAACAGGGTTCCAGTCTTTATCAGGTTAACTCAGAGACCAGTACAGCGCCTACAATGGATAAATAATCCTCGGGTTTACTTTAAAGTACTACGTTAATAAGACAGAATTAACAGTGTTAGCTTATATTTCACAAAATGGCAAATAATAAACAGATTTTAAGATAATGTGTGTAAAATGATTGAAGTAAAATTCTTTTTCTGCAGTGTTGGGGTCAAAACAGATTTCTGATTTCAAAAGAGTCAGCATTTTTAGATGGGATTAGTAGATACCTAAGAAAGCCTCCCAAGAAGAGCAAGTAGCATCCCTCGTGACAAGGCCTGCCTGGCTGTGTGTGCTTTCTTTTACAGGTGAGCATCTGTCTGGAATGCAATAGCAGCAAACTGCGGGGCTTGAAACGGAAATGGATCCGCTGCTCAGCCCAAGCCACGGTCCTGCATCTAAAGAAGTTCATCGCCAAAAAACTCAACCTTTCGTCCTTCAACGAGGTAATTGGTACACCATAAATAGAAACTGTAACAAGTCGCTTCTTATTTGTAAAAGTGATACTTCCAAAGTTCTTTTTTTTTTTTTAACAACTTTGTTTTAAGATTTTAAATCAGGGGGAAAAAATCTCAATTTGTCTTGTCTGTCTCCAGATAGTTTGATAGGATATAGCAGTGAGGATAGTGGAAGGCCCAGAGACCATGAACGTGGGGACTGCTGCTGATAGAAGAGAGAGTACTGAGGAGGAGGGTAATGGGATTGTTTATAATATGTTAAAGATTTTCTCTTGTTTAGTTTCACAAACGGATGGATGGATGGGTAGATGGGGGATGAATAGACAGATAGGTAGATAGACAAAATACTTTCAAGTTGTAATAAATGCTGAGAATAAGAGAAAACCTGGTGGCCCGTGGTGCACAGTGGGGTTGGTGGACGGAGGGTTGAGTAAACACTTTAGCTTAGGAGTCACTGGGGAGCCCTCCACTTAAGACACCTCCACGTAAGTGTCACCACTTACACTAAAATGTGAGTTGTCAGTAGGGGCCAGCTGCGCATACATGAATGTAAAGAGATGGCACTGGGGGGCCTTAAACGGGGGATACGTGATCTGAGTATATAGTTTTAAAATAGTCCTCAGGCTGTGAGGAAAATGAATTGTTGGGGTGCAGAAATGGAAAGTAGGGAAGGCCAGCTGGGGGTGTTTGTGGCAGGAGTCCCAGGAGAGGTGGACTGGGGTGGTCAGTGAGGATGGAGAGAAGTAGGTGGACTTCAGATTTGTTTTAGAGAGAGTAGTGGGGTGAACAGTTGCCCCCCAAAAGATACGTCCACATCCTAACCCCCAGAACCTGTAAATATGACCTGTTTTGGAAAAAGAATCTTTTCAGATGTAATTAAGTTCAGGATCTTGAGATGAAATAATCCTGGGTTGTCTGGGTAGACCCTAAATCCAATGACAAGTATCCTTACAAGAGTGTAGCAGAGGGAAATTGGAGACACACAGAGGAGAAGGTGATGTGAGGACAGAGACAGAGATTAGAGTGATGCAGCCACAAGCCAAGGAACGCCTGGAGCCCCCAGAAGCTGGAAGAGGCAGGAAGGATCCTCCCCTAGAGCCTCCACAGGGAAGGCAGCCCTGCCAACACCTTGATGTCAGACTTCTAGCCTCCAGATCTGTGAGAAAGTAAATTCCTGTTGTTTTAAGCCACCAAGTTTGTGGTACTTTATCTCAACTGCCACAGGAAACCTAAACACTTTTTGGTACCAGGAAGTGAAGTGCTGCTGTTGACAAATACCTAAAAATGTGGAAATGGCTTTGGAATTGGATATTAGGGAGAGGTTGGAAGAATTTTGAGGAACACAATAGAAAAGCCTAGATTTTAAAAACGACTTGAAGACACTGTTGGTAGAAACATGGTCATTGAAGATGATTCTGATGATAGCCCAGAAGGAACTGAGGAACACAGTGGAGAAAGCTTCTGTCATCTTAGAGGGTACATATCACCACAAACAGAATGTTGGTAAAAATAGGAAGATTAAAAACACTTCTGATGAAAACTCAGATGGAAAAGAGGAGCATAGTCTTGGAAACAGGAAGAAAAGTGATCCTTGTTACACAGTGGGAGAAAACATGGCTGCATTGTGTTCTACACTTGTGTGGAAAGCAGAACTTGGAAGTGATGAACTTGGATGTTTAGCTGAGATTTCCAAGCAAAGTGTTGAAGGGGTGGTCTCGTTTCTTCTTGTTGCTTATAATAAAACATGGAAGGAGAGAGGTGAATCCAGGCAGGAACTGCTGAGCAAAAAGGAACCACGACTTGATGACTTGAAAAATTCACAGCCTGTTCAGATTGCAAAAAGACAGTAAAGTTAGGAGTTTTACTGTTGGGGAAGCACACTCTGGAGAGAAGGCTAGAGGAGTGGCTGGACAACCTTTGCTGAAGAGATTAGTTGTGTGATTCATGCTGGCTCAGCCATCTCACAGAACCCGGGAATGGAGAGGAGTTATCCAGGAAAGATCTGTAGAGAATATTCGTGTCTAATGGCCTGGATTCATGACATACATGGGAGACCCACAAAGCTTTTGAGAATATTATATCAGCAGAAACATAACCAGCTCGGACTGAAAGGGACAGAGACAGGAAGAAATGAGAGAAGACTGTCAGCCTTCCAAAATTCTACGTGCAGGAAATAGGCTGATAGAGCTACTTGGCTACAAATATGAGCTACCCTTGAAGAAAAAGGAAGAAAGATTCCAAGGGCAGAGCCTCGGGCCCAGAGAGTGAGGCCATCATGGGCTCGGGGCAGAACCTCCACCCCCATTGGTGTATTCTCAGGTCTTGAAACATCATGGAATTTTCCCTGCTGGATTTCAAACTTGCTTGAGACCAGTGACCCCTTTATGTCTAATATATGTCCCTTTTGGAGTAGGAATATCTGTCCTGTGCCTGTCCCACCCTTGTGTTTTGGGAGCAGATAACATGTTTTCTAGTTTCACAGGTCCAGCTAGAGAGGAATTTTGCCCCAGGATGGATCATACCCAGAGTCTCACCCAGACCTGATTCATATGATTTGGAAGATAAGATCAGCAACTTTGGAGCTGATGAGATTTTGGAATTTGGAGTTGATGCTGGAATGGATTGAGATTCTTGGGGATGTTGAGATCGGGTGAATGTGTTTTGCATGTGGGATGGCTGTAGATTTTGAGAAGCCAGAGGCAGACTGTAGTAGGCTGAATGGTGACTTCATGAAAAGATATGTCCATTTCCTAACTCCCAAAACATGTGGATGTGACTTTATTTGAAAAAATGTTTTTGCAAATGTGTTAAGAATCTTGAGGGCTGGCCTGGTGGCATAGTGGTTAAGTTCAAACACTAAGCTGTGGCGGCCTGGGGTTTGTGGGTTCGGATCCCAGGCATGGACCTGCACACCACTTATCAAGCCATGCTGTGGCAGTATCCCACACATTAAAAATAGAAGAAGATGGGCACAGATGTTAGCTCAACAACAATCTTCCTCACCAAAAAAAAAAAATTATTAAAAAAAAGAATCTTGGGGCCAGCCTGGTGGCGTAGCAGTTAAGTTCGCGGGCTCTGCTTCCGCAGCCTGGGGTTCGCAGGTTTGGATCCTGGGTGCGGACCCACACATCACTTGTCAAGCCGTGCTGTGGCGGCGTCCCATATAAAGTAGAGGAAGATGGGCACAGATGTTAGCCCAGGGCCAATCTTCCTCAGCAAAAAGAGGAGAATTGGCAACAGATGTCAGCTCAGGGCTAATCTTCCTCACAAAAAAAAAAAAAAAGAATCTTGAGATGAAGAGATCATCCTGGATTATCCAGGTGGGCCCTAAATCCAGTGACAACAGTCCTTATAAGAGAAGTTCAGACACATTGTCTCAAAAGATAGATGTCATACAAAGTATCTTCTCTGACCACAATGACATAAAGTTAGAAATGAATAACAAAAGGAAAACTGGAAAATTTACAAAATTGTGGAAATTAGACAACACATTTTTTTTGCCCTGAGCTAACATCTGTGCCAGTCTTCCTCTATTTTGCATGTGGGTCGCCACCACAGCACAGCAGACGAGTGGTGTAGGTCCACGCCCAGGATCCAAACCCCAGAACCCGGGCCGCTGAAGCAGAGCTCGCTGAACTCAACCACTAGGCCACAGGGCTGGCCCTAGACAGCACTTTTTTTTTTTTTTTTTAATTGATGTTTTAATGGTTTCTAACATTGTGAAATTTTGGGTTGTACATTTTTGTTTGTCCATC